CCATATAGTGGCAACAGAGGGCTCATTTCCCTCTGTTGCCACAGGAGTTTGGCATCAGTATCTTACTGATAATAACTAATTAATAGTAAATGACTGAGCTTACTAGACCGCTTTGTAAGCGTTAAATTAGTACTACAACAAGCCATGTAATGGCAACAGAGGGTTCATTTGTCTCTGTTGCCACAGGGGATTGGCATCAGTATCTTACTGATAACAACTAATTAATAGTAAATGACTGAGCTTACTAGACCGCTTTGTAAGCGTTAAATTAGTACTACAACAAGCCATATAGTGGCAACAGAGGGCTCATTTCCCTCTGTTGCCACAGGAGTTTGGCATCAGTATCTTACTGATAATAACTAATTAATAGTAAATGACTGAGCTTACTAGACCGCTTTGTAAGCGTTAGATTAGTACTACAATAAGCCATGCATAATGCCATACATAATTAATTTGTTAATTTGTATAACATACATGATAGTAAGCTGTTATTTAAAAAAAAGTCCCGCTGGGTTTCTTGCTGATTCTTCCCAGGACAGAGGTTTTTTTTCGAACCAGTGGTAATTATACCAAGAAATGACTTTCAATAAGTATTATTTATAATCTATATTGAATACAAAAGTTTCTGTTTCTGTTTCATGTAGTGGCAACAGAGGGCTCATTTCCCTCTGTTGCCATAGGAGTTTGGCAGCAGTATCTTATGGTCCCCACACACGGTCAGTTAAACTGACATCAGTTCAACTGATCATTTCAAACGGATTTAATCCAAAACAATTTCCACACACACGATCAGTTCAACTGATCATTCCAACTGATCAGTTCAAACTAGCGCTGTTGATATTTTTAAAATATCGGATCTTCAATATATCGATAATTATAAATATATCAATATCGGAGTTTTATATATCGAAAACATAAGCGATATATCGATGCTTATTGCTTAAAAATGATTTACAGTTTATAATTTAGTATATTTATTAAACAAATTAAATTATAAATGAATGAAAATGTTAGGTTATAGTTCTTAGTAATTATTTTACTAAGAACTATAACCTAATTATTAAAGAGCCATGATAGCACAGATGGTTAGCGCTCGCTGTAAATTTCACAGTACGCGAACAACCCGGGTTTGATCCCCGCCGGCACCAATGAAATTGTTAATTGCAATTTTAAATGCTGGTTTACCACGTGCTCGGCGATGAAGTAAAACACGTGAGGAAACCTGCATGTCAGAGAAATAAAATAAAAATTTCAGAAAACGTGAAGTTCGTCAACACGCATTGGGACAGCGCGGCGGACGTTGCCCTAAAACCCTCTCAGAAGTTAGGAGAGGCCTGCCCAGCTGAGGAGTGCTCAGCATTGGGACGTATATAGGCTGTAACTTTAACTTGAATTATTGTTTAATTTAAATAAGATGATTATGTTTACCTATATTTGTCAGTAAGAGTTTTCAAAAATACTCGTTGTTTTATATGTTCAGCTGTTTCAATACTCCAATTATTGGGCACTAAAAGATTGATTGTAGAAGTAATTCGTTCAGATACTTTGGATGCAGCTGAAGAAATCAAGTGTTTAACAGTTATTTCTGATAGCACGGAAGTAAATCATAAGACGCCTAAGCGATTAAAATAATTTGAGGCTTATACCAACATCGAAGCACTTATTTCTTCGTTTTCTCTAATAGCTCACATGTGCAGACACTTAATACACATAATCGCATCACTTTGATAAAAATCCACTTCAAACGATTATTTAAACGATAAAACAGGAGCAACCATCCGTCGATGGTCAAGCTCCTGCCAAAACTCACAGTAAGTAAAGTAGTACTAAGTTTCATAGATTATAGTGATTTTAATGTCACAGAGATATACTTTACAAAATTACATTTCTTTTTTAGATAATATATAAACTGGGGAAAAATGAAAAACATAATATAGTGTAAATAAAGTATAGTAGATTGGGTCCATCAAGGATTAGGATTTAAGTTTACGATGGTGTTGTAGATTAAATGACTTACGTGAAAAAATAAAAAAAAAAATTATTTAAAAAAATATATCGACTGTCGTATATCTATATTTCAATATCAAACTTATATTTCAATATATGTCGTCAAAATATTAAAAATAAATATCGATATTTCTAAATAATAAAATAGATTTTTCGATATATCGATATTTTATCAACAGCCCTAGTTCAAACGTGGGGCGAGGCCGTAGGCGTTTGGTTTGCGACTTCTATAAAATATCATATATATATATATATATATATATATATATATATATATATGATATTTAATAATATCTAAATCTTATTTAATATCATGTCCTGTCTATTAATATATATATATTTATACAAATAAATAAAATTGAAGTGTCTGTTTGTAATGTCAAAATAACAGTTTTTTTTTACTAAATACATATGAAAGTACATACGGTACTTATAACAAAAACACAATTTTTAAAATTTTTGTCTGTTTTTCTGTCTGTCTGTCTGTTTGTTCCGGCTAATCTCCGAATCGGCTGAACCAATTTTGACGAGACTTTCAGTGGCAGATAGCTGATATATATTTTGACCAGATAATGCTTATCAGTTTTCAGTAACGGAAATAGTTAGGGTGGCCTATCTTTCTATGTTTATCTAATTGAGCTCTCGACGCGTTACATACTTAAAATGAAGTTGAAGCACCCAAACGTCACGAATTAAAATAAGTTAAACAAAATAAAATCCGTAAAGTTTGTTTTATTAAATGTGTATTCGTGTAATAAATCAGTCAAAAATCATTGAATTCTAAATACTGCGTACAGGTAACTTGGTCATTTATAGGAGTTGGTGTTAATGGTGCTTGTAGGTTTTCTTGAAGTACGCAGATATTTTCGTCTGCTGGTTGTAGTTGGTTATGCTTTTTCCGTTCCGCCTTGTTTTTATTGCCTGTCTAATAAATGGTCGATTTCTAATTTTGTACCTACTAGGGAGTTTTGCTGCTGATTTAATTGCCTGAAAACATTATAAAGTGAGTAATACTGTTTGTACTACATATTTATTATATTTATTTTATTTGTGTAAGTACTTCTTGAGCCCTTTGAAATGAGCCCAAACACGATGGTGTTTCGTCGTGGCATAACTGAGATCCTATACCCACCTTCGGATTGCACCATCAGAAAGGTGAGGTTATAACTGTCACCTAAGTCTTTGAAAATCCTAGTGTGGGAATAACGTTTTTTTAATAAAAAAATATATATAAAATAATATAAAATCTTAAAATTTATTAATAAAAAAATTATAAAATATATATAAAAGCTACTAAGAAAGTCTGTACTTACCAATAATGGAAACGAACTGAAACGAGCAGATTACGGTGCGCCCGGAAAAATACGTGGGTTGCGTCAGTTAAAATTTTTTAACTTAAGATTTCACATTCACGATCAGTTTTTGGATGTACGTCAGTTCGACGGAGCAGTTTAACTGACAACACGCCCGACTAAAATCCGTGTGTTGCCGTCAGTTAAAAATTTGAACTTAAGATTTCACATTCACGGTCAGTTTTTGGATGTACGTCAGTTCAACTGAGCAGTTTAACTGACCGTGTGTAGCCACCATAAGGGTGAATATTTGAAAACGTACATTTTTGATGTCTCGCTGTGAATAACACATTAAACCTGAATCGATCACTTTTTTTATATACATAGTTAATTAAGTGGGGTATATATTGCAGATCAATTTATTGTGTTTTATAAGCTATAAGCCATTTTATAAAAAAATAGTTCCCAAAACATCATTACCATTCGTGTCCCTTTTCTCAATTTTCAATCATTATGATAAGAAAAATTAAACGAAACCTTCGGAGAATAACATTTTTTCTTATTATTTAGTAAATATAATAGTTAATGTATAAACTGAAATAAAATATATGATGTAAAGAACAGTTTCAGTTAATTTTATACCAATTCAAAAATTGTGCCACCCTTCGTACTACTTACCGTTCGCGAATACTGACAGTGAAATAGAATTGTACCCAATGGTAAATGTAATCTTCACGACGACTCCCCACCACGACCTCTGTGCCCGCTAGTGACTTGAGCAGATTACACATCTTAAAGAGCGATTTGGCGCCAACGAAAAATTAATAATCTACAAAAGATCGTCCAGGTCAAAATAAAATCTCCTTACCGTTCGTGTCTTCTAAAGGGTCTCCGATTCTTTACACTCATCATACGGAACACAGGAGCAGAAAGCTGCTATTAACTCTGGTATTCTCTAATAGCATGATTCTTCTGCGGTCGAGCCGACCCATTCGTGCTACAACCATAATATAGACGCTCTACCACGTAAAAAATATACAATTATTGCTTGATGATTGGGTCAAGTATAAATGCGTACCCCGTGCTCGGTGAAACTTTATATGTATGTTATTACTATAAGGGTTTTATATTTTCTGCTTGACGCGAGCGTTCGCGAGCGGCTTGATCTAGAATTTCTCAAGTCGTCCATCCAAAAAGATTGAAATAATTTGCTTGCTTTCAACCTACTTGATTGCCTCGGAACCCCCATTTCTATTCAGCTATCATTTGAGACTATTATTTTTTACTACTATAGCGTCAATTAGGGTTAATAATCTTACGCTCACCAGATGGCACTAGTTGGGACTAAGTTTCTAGTGTATGTTTATACACAAATGCCTCATTGCTGTATTATTTAATTTTTACACATTTTTAATTCTTTTACTATTCGGAACATCCGTAGTTCGGTTTATCCATTTCTACTTTCATTTATATAAAATATATCTAATATTTCAGAAAGGAACATTAATTTCTAGCAAAAGCACTTCTCTCGATATGAAATATGTCAAATATTTCACCTCATTTCTAAATAGCGCCTCCATGGTGGCAAAAAATCGTGGATGCACTTATTAATCAGATAAATTACGTTTGTCACCCTTGTGTAACAAGGCCCTTGTCCAGACAGTTGCGACGGGAGAGGATATGATTAAAACAAACTTTTTTAGTTACAGATATAATTATTAATGTACACGTTAATGTGACCTGAATCACTTCATGATTCGGATGTTCGATAAAAAGCAGCAGTACTGATCACTGTTTTCTTCGTTCCACACTTTCCATTTCAGTTGAAATTTACCCTGTAAAATAAAATAAAAAATATAATAATAATAATATACAGAAGTCGGCGCTCCTCGGTACTGCCCACATCGTCCGCACGTTACTATCCCTTTCTCCCTGACCATTGGTCGTTTAATAACCCCCGCCGATTGCTTCCATTGGATTGGATATTTAATTGCGTACGTATTATAATTTATTTTATATTATTTATCATTCTTATATACCTATTTAAAGTGCTCTCATTATTGGTTACATACATGTAAATATGTACCTATTCAATAATAACGCCTATACGAGTATTTAGTTATTCTTCGACCGCATACTTGAAGGGATAATTACTATCCCTTCATTTTTTTTAATAAAATTTAAGTGACAAAAAAACTAAAAGTCGATCGATGGTAAGTGGCTATAAAAAAGGCTACATTTGAGTTGTCACCACTGAGGACTAACATGGAATGACTACAGTCTGTAACTACAGTGGCCTTTGCATTTTGTACCCTTACGACCGTAACAACTAACACAGAGTGTAGTAAAGAGACGAATAGAGTCTAGAAAAGAGAGAGAAGAAGCAGAAAAAGAGTCCTAGAACCTAGAATATAATATGTTTTTACCCGAAAAACATGCGTAACTTTGTTTTTTTTTTATCGAGAAAATATAATCCTAATATTTATTTGAAAATTTATAGCATTTAGAATGATAATGAATTATTATCATTAGGATTTTTTGTTAATATTTTACATTAAAGTTGGAAAAAAAATTACTTCGCGTACATCGTATATCGTCGTACAGCGTATTATAATGGACTTAAGCAAAGTAACGCCTGATTCTATCAAATATTTTTTAAATTTTTGAGTCTCGTCTTGATATGTTTAAGACATCATTACTGGTAATAACGTTGACTGCCTCGTTGGTGTAATGGTTTTAAGATGCGACTGCTGATCATGATGATGTCCCGCGTTCGAATCCCGGGTCGGGCCAAAAAAATTTTATTGAGTTTTTCCGCCAAGAAATTTTCAGTAGCTGCCGGGAGTCAGTAAGATGGCGGTGTCACAACCCCGTGCTTAAAGCACGTAAAGCCGTTAATCCTGCACCTGATTTCTCTCCACTCGCGTCGGTTGATCGTCCCATCGGCCTATGAGAGTGAGGGAATAGAGAGTGCGCCTGTGCTTGCGTATACACATGGGCACTATAATCCTGTCCTGCGTCGATGGCTAGTCTCCCATGCTGACCGCCGTGATCGAAATTCGTTTTTGAGGACATTATTACTGGTGATGAATCTCAGTTTGACTGTTTCAAAATGAACCAACGCCTACGAAATTGAAGCGATATAGAAGCGCAGGAAAGAGTGTGATTGCTATTTTTTTTTTACTTTGCGGTGTATCATCAACTGTATATCGGTGGCTTCTACATCAGATAAGGCATACATGGTATATATTCAATATAATTTTTTATCTATTGTTTTAGTGTAGGTTAGTTGTAGTAAATTTCATATAGTTATTTTGTTGATTCTTAATTCTTCGTTTTACAAATCATATTGCACCTTTAAAGCAGTGTTCTCTGCTTATTTATAGGTTGACTTGTAGAGAATGCTTTAAGGCGTTAAGTCTGCTATTGTACATTTTTGTGCAAAGAAGTTAAGTAAATAAATATAGAATCTACCGTACTAGGGTACTACATTATGTCATTGTCACTTGTGTTTGAAAGTACCTAAATAAAATGGGAAATTAAAAAAAATATTTACACTTGGCAACTTTTTCCCGATCCTGAGACTGTAATTCAACTGCTGCGACTTGCCAGCCTCCGTGGGGCAGGTAGTGTACTGGCAGCCGTCAGCTTCTTGCAGCTCCGCGAACGGGACGTCAACTGCGCCGTTCGCCCAGAACACCCCCGTCTTCAGCTTTTGTGTTGTGAAGTCTGGAATTTTATTTATTTATTGGATTTACCAACGACTTTACATTACAAACGTTACATACATTTCTTAAAGTATTTACATTACGTGCGCAGGTTATGTAAAATCATTTAAGGGTAAACCTACATGATATTGTTGCTAGTATTATTGAATAAATCTAAAATTGAGTTAAAAACAGAAACAAATCGAAACCAGAAACAAACGAAAACAAATGGTCAAATTAAAACAGTTGTACAACCGACTTCAATATAAATTATTAAGTATAACTCAAAAACTACTGGTCAGAACTTGATCAAATTTAGATCACATTGGACCACATGAGAAGCACCAGCTTTCAAATAAAAAAGAATCATCGAAATTGGTTCCCCGACAAAAAAATTATGAGGTAACACATAAAAAACATACTGTCGAATTGAGTAGTTCCTTTTTGAAGTTGGTTGAAATTATAAAAGTAATTTTAAACAGTTTGAAAAGAGATTTACTTTAATCAGATTAATAATTAGCGCTTTAATTAAAATTACAACATAATTTAACCCAACTAAATATTTAATAAAAGAAATTAAATTAAAATATACGAAAGATATATATAAGACGAAAGATACTAATATAATAAAGATCACTTTCAGGATAACTGGCTGACTAAGTTGCTGATAATTAATTTACGAAAAGTTGAAATTTTCGTGTTGATTGATATTGCAATACGTTGACAAACAAGCTCATAGACTATCTCATTCACTTCAACCTACAGCATACTAAATAATAATAAATGTAATAACTAATAATATGTATACAGCTGAACAGAGGCCTTCCCATAGATTGCTTCATAAGCTGGATTGACGGCTTCGTGGCGCTGTGGCTTAGCAATGAGTTGTAGTGCAGAGAGTTGCGGGTTCGAATCCCGCACGGAACAAGTATTTGTATGGCCTACAAATAAATTGTTTCGTGTCTGGATGTTTCTCCTCGTGCAATTTATGTCTGAAAACTGCCTCCACGATACAGGAGAAATCTTAGTGTGAGGGTGACGCTTTTTTAGTAAAAAAAAATAAATAAAATCAATTACCCTAGTTGCAACGTTTGTTAAGCGGGTTGGCAACCGCAGTTTTTTATTTATTTTGTAGTTGTAATTATGGAATACGATGGTGCCCATCTCCTGGTTCAGTGTGTGAACAATTTAATTTAATAGGTATTTGTAACAAATAATATTTTAACATATAAAAAAATTATGTTTGTTTGTTAGTATTTTACGCGTTGCCGTACCGTCATCAGATTGCAGTAAAACTTTGTCAACTTATTGTTTGCACTTGCGCTAAGGTTATGGCCATAAAGTACAATTAACTTACAGTAGCTGGTACGTGTATTATACCGAGAAATTTATTTGAGAGTTATCATTATCATCATTAAAGCCCTTTACAAGTCCACTGCTGAACGTAGGCCTCCCCCAAGTAATGCCACAAAGCACGGTCCTGAGCCACCTGCATCCATCGACTTCCTGCATGCCTTATCAGGTCGTCACTCCATCTAGTTTAGGGACGCCCTACACTTCGCCTGTCGGTACGAGGCTGCCACTCGAAAACTTTTCTTCCCCATCGGTTGTCGGTTCTTCGAGATATATGGCCGGCCCATTGCCACTTCAGCTTACTAATCGGTTGGGCTATGTCAGTCACTCTGGTTCTACTGCGGATACCCTCATTTCTAAGTTTATCACGCAGAGAAACTCCAAGCATAGCCCTCTCCATAGCACGCTGAGCGACATTGAGCTTCCTCATCCGGCCAGTAGTGAAGGACCACATCTTAGTTCCATAGGTCATCACTGGCAACACGCACTGGTTGTACAGTCTCGTTTTCAAGTTTTGAGGTATACCTGACGAGAAGATGCGCCGTAATTTCCCGAACGTTACCCAACCGAGTTGAATCCGTCGATTGACTTCTTGATCGAAGTTGGACTTACCTAGTCGGACTATTTGTCCTAGGTAAACATACTCGTCAACAACTTCGAGCTTAGTGCTTCTCACAACTACCGGCATAGGTGTGACATGGACATTAAACATGATCTTTGTTTTGTCCATGTTAATCTTAAGACCAATCCGTTGGGAGACACTATTGAGGTCATTCAGCATAGTGCTTAGCGCCTCCAGCGATTCTGCCATAAGAACTATATCGTCGGCAAATCGAAGGTGAGTGATGTACTCGCCATTGATGTTAATACCGTATCCTTTCCAGTCCAGTAGATTGAAAACGTCTTCCTATGCAGCGGTGAAGAGTTTCGGTGATATAACATCACCCTGTGTTACACCTCTCTGCAGTTGGATAGGTTTCGTACTTTGACTCAGCACGTTTGAGAGCTATATATACCTATTATTAATTCAATTTCAATGAATGTATTATCATTATCAGTCAAACAAAACCCTTACAAATTTAAAACTATATTTCTGCAATTATTACTTCTGTGGCAGCAACGCGCCGGGTACCATAGCTAGTGTTTCTTACTGCACTTCTTCATATACATTTTAACACTTGAAACGGCTTGGTAGCGATTACCTCATCCCAAGTGTGTTTGTTGTTTTTTCTTATCTTATTGTTATAAAAATCCTCCTCTATAGTTTTTGTTAGATTAAATTTGTAATTTTTTATATTGGATTGTATTTGGGTAATTTCTTAATTTTTTTACAATGTTTTTATTAACTCATTTTCTTGTCTGTTCGGTACAAATTTTACTATTGATTTTAAACTGACTTCCCGATGAGCGAGGGACTTGTAACTTCAAAAAGAGCGCACAACTGGAAACATGAAAATAAAAGTGGTCGCCATATTTAAATTATAATTATAACTATTTACAAGCGACAGTAGCCTAATGGTAGGTGTGCGGACAGCGAACTCAAAAGATCGTGGATTCGAATCCGACATTCTGCTACTGTCATGAACCACTTCTAACATTCAAGCATGTTAATGTTACCAATAGCGTTCAAAGCGAATATTAATAAAATACGAGTATTAATAGTATTTCTATTATTAGAAAAAAACGTAGTAGAGCCATGCTGCAGCTATATTAGTAGTATAGTTGTAGCACGAATGGATCGGCTCGACCGGGGAAGGACCACGCTCTCACGGAATACCAGCGTAAAATGGCAGCTTGACACTGCTGTGTTTCGTATGGTGAGTGTAGAGAACCGGAGACCCATTTTACTGGAAAAGAGGCAATCCATCTTAGTCCTCACGGGTGACGACGCATCTGCATTTTGATTCTTTATTGAGGAAAAATGTAGATGTCTATGGGTCACAGCAACCATTTACCATCAGGTGGACTGTGTGCTCGTTTGTCACCCTAGCCAGTGCTTGACATTTACCATCAGGTGGATAAGTAGTATGATATAGTTGAAGGTGGTAAATCGCACGAAAATAGCTAAATGTTCCCTAGGTCTGACTAATTTACACCTGATATATCACTTACTTGGCACGAAGTCAAAGGATATCGAGTGCAGTTCGCCCTTTTTCAACTTGCAGACCTTATCACTTTTACACGGTGTAATCCTGACCTCGGAGATCGTGCATATGTCGTCTGCAGCTGAAATAATAGAAAAAAACCTTTATTGAAAACTTCCGTTTGTATGCTCTTTAAGCGACAAAGTGGTTTGTGCTGTGTGCTTCAGACCGAATTTCGGTCACGGCGGCCAGTTTCAACGGAGACCAGCAACTGCGCAGGACAGGATTATAGTGCCCGAGTGTATGCGCAAGCACAGGTGCACTCTCTATTCCCTCACTCTCATAGTCCGATGGAACAGTAATCTAACACGACCGTAGATAGATTAGCCGCAGGACAACACCAACATGTTTTCGTGCTTTCCGAGACACGGGGGTGACATTACCTGACTCCGGGCTGCTACCGGGAATTCCTTGACAGATAAAGTCATTAACTGATTTTTGGTCCGAGCCCGGATTCGAACCCGGAACCTCATGATTTACGACCACCAGACCAACGAGGTAAATGAGTATTCAGTATAAATAAAAGAAATATTTCAAAATAAAGTATTGTCTATACAATACATACAACATACTATACAATAAAATAAAATTGAAGTGTCTATTTGTAATGTTAAAATAACAGGTTTTTACTAAATGCATATAAAAGTACTAGCTGTTCGCCGCGACTTTGCCCGCGTGTTATTTGGGGTTTTAATTTTTTTGCGCGGAACCCTAATTCTTTTTCTAAAATAAAAGTAGCCTAAGTTACTCCTTGTGACATCAGATATCTGCCAGTGAAAATCCCGTAAAAATCGGTCCAGCCGTTACGGAGATTAGCTGGAACAAACAGACAGACAGACACAAACTTTAAAAATTGTATTTTTGTTATTAGTACCGTATATATTTTCATATGCGTGTAGTAAAACGCTGTAATTTTGACATTACAAACAGACACTTCAATTTTATTTATTTGTATAGATGTATAGATATACGGTACTAATAACAAAAAAAAGAATTTAAAAAATATGTCTGTCTGTGTGTCTGTTTGTTCCGGCTAATCTCCGAAACGGCTGGACCGATTTTGACGGGACTTCACTGTCAGGTAGCTGATGTTGTAAGGAGTAATTTAGGGTAGTTTTATTTTAGAAAAAGAATTAGGGTTCCGCGCAAAAAAATTAAAACCCATGAACTCGTAGTAAATTCCACGCGGGCGAAGTCGCGAGGGACAGCTAGTCCTACATAAATGTCCCGCATTTGGACACAATACCAATGGACGCTACCTGTGTTCCTTGTTGAAGTGTTGTACATGGTCAATGTAGAGAAATGGAGATTTTTTTTACTTATAACGAGGCATTCCATCTTAGCCCTTATGGGTGGCAACGCATTTTGATTCTTAATCGATGATAGATGTACATGTCTATGGCCCACAGCATTTACTTACCATCAGGATCTGTGTGCTCATTTGTCGCCCTTTTTATATAAAAACAAACGTTGCTACTACAAAGCGAATATATAAATGAGAATTTCTGAAATCCTTAGTCTCAGTTCCTAATGTACATGTACATAATATATTTATATAACATACATTATGATTAGACCATTTCATTAGTATTATTACATGAAATTGACTGATAACACGTTTAAACTCTTTGTAGCTCATTGCACGAGTACCGAGAGTACATTCGGTACATACAGCGATAAAGTTTACATTATCTGTGGTAAATGGCTCATTTAATAAAATATAAAATTTATTAAATAAAAAGATCTATGTTAAACAATATTTTATTGTCGTTGCTAGGGCCCGCATCTGGTTCCGACATCAGATCATCGAATCAGCTAAATGCTATAGCAATGAGTTTTTACAGTAAAATAAATATCAACCTCTTCTATGTCCCGATGTTTTCCTTTTTGATTATACATTATCTTTATAATAACTAGAACCTTTATAAAATGTTCAAACTTACTATTTAGACCGCTGTCAAGAGAGGCCTAGTGTTCAAATTCGATAACTAATACTGAAAAAAAAAAAACATAGGGACACAGTGCATATCTCTCTTATTCAGTTTATGAAATATCTTTTAAATTGTTCCATTATTGGAGGAGGAAATAGTAGAGAGCCAAACCACGAATTATGCCTTTTTACTTAGGCTATTCAGTCGGATCTGCAGTTGTCGTCGGACGCCGAGCGCTCGCAGAGCGACAGCGATAGTTTCTACAAATACACACCTAATTTTCAAAAGACTCTCGGTCTGTATTTCCTCTTAAAAAAAAATCTAATTTCAATACAGAAGATGCTGGGACCCTATAATTAATAAAATTAAATCCTAACCTAAGCATACCACTGCTATTCTTTAAGATACTATAAGTTCTATCTGTGAATATCGGACCAAAAATTAATAACTTTTAATTTCAGACCCCCGTGACCATGGGTGCAAAGTACTTAAAACATTGGTAGTATAAAATGAGTCGATTTAACGTGATAAATCCGTAAAAACAGTTTCACTCAATGTATAGTGTTTACGTAAATATAAGAAATCATTATGTAGAAGAAATTCTTAAAGGTATTTTAGTAGTAGTGGATTTAAAAGATGTGATGTGATAAGAAAATAAGTAATGGCGGTGTAAGAATATCCACTACACCATAATGTCACGTGGGTGTCGTAAGAAGCGACGGAGGGAAATTGAAACAGAAAATGAGCAGCATCCTAAAATAATAAAAAACTGCCGTTGGCAATCCACTTGTCAAACGTGGCAACTGTGCGAAATCCCCCCTATGATGCAATCTATGGGGGAGGCCTATGTTTCTTCTGTGGACTTTTATAGACTGTAAGGGATGAAATGGATGGATTTTTGTTTATAGGATAGGGTGACAAACGAGCACACAGTCCATCTGATGGTAAGTAGTTGCTCTACTCATAGACATCTACATCTATCCTCGTATGCGAATCAAAATGCAGATGCGTTGTCATCCGTGAGGACTAAGATGTAATGTCTCTTTTCCAGTAAAAAAGGGTCTCCGGTTCTCTACACTCACCACACGAAACACACCAGTGTTAAGCTGCTATTTTACGCTGGTATTCTGTGAGAATGTGGTCCTTCCCCGGTCGAGCCGACCCATTCATGCTACAACTATATAGCTGCAGCATGGCTCTACCACGTATAAAATGGATGTGATAACAAAATAAATCTTAAATTAACTAATTTTCAGGCAGTATAACTGTTAGTTAGTTATAAATTCTGTGTTCTGTTTATCATTAACTGAACTCCGTCTAGGATATTATCACACTAAATAAATAATAACTTTTATTCAATGATATGGCTCCTTTTCTGCCTTAGAATCTGGTACCATCTACTTCTCCATCCAATCAGCATGATCGGTTTGAAAGGAAAAAGAGATAGTATAATTACATTTTAGATTAAGAATGAACGCATCTATGGCCTATTTTGTTTGGTTGTTGTTGTCCTAGACAATAGTCACATCCTCTCCGAGTGTATTCCCGTGTCGTCGTGCTACGTAAACATGGACTAAGAATCAATATGGCTACCCGGAGGAGGCCGCTTTGAACGGGTTTATCGAGGCTATTCTGATTATGTGTTGGCGGACTGTGGTGGGTTCTCCTATCAACCTCTGCAGCCAAGGTCCATCGCAGGGAGGGGGGAAGAGTGTTGATATAGCGATGGGGGCATCATATCCTCTACAACTCAAGCGGGGCAACGGGGGTATTTGTCGGTGGGTTTATTAATAAAAAGAAGGACAGTAGTTACTTGTTTGTAATTTCTATATTATAAAAGTACTTACCTGGTTCACATTTCTTAAAAACTGCCACTTCACCCAGAACAACAGCTAGCAAAGATGCTACGGTAAGAAATGTAAGAGGCTGCATTGTGGAACTATCTTACGGGTTCAAGACGCGACTGTGAAGTAATTGAACGTTAATTTAAGTACATATGTATATGCGTCAATATCTTGACTGACATCTTGACCCGTCCGCTTGTGACGAGATAAGAATTGTAATGTTAAACGATTAAATATGTTTATTGTGTCCGCATAATTAAGTTATCATTATTCGCTCATTGATATAACTATGTACGTTAATGAGGAATTTAAGTTTAAGTTTTAGTTAAGATATTTATGTTGATGAAATGTATTCATAATGATTCTTAATTTAATTTTATCAAATATTATTGCACGTGGTAAAAATCTGAAGGTATATTATGACGCGACCGGGATAGGGCCACGCTCGCACATAATTCCCGTGTGAAACAACAGAATAATGTTGCTATTACATATGGTGTATAGAGAACCGGAAACCCTTTTTATCTATCATAGATGTAGATGTCTATGTGTCACACGCATACACTTACCATCAGGTAGATTGTGTGCTCGTTTATCATACTTACTCTAAAAAAAATCTTTTACAATCAATACCACTGACCTCTTTAGATGGACTGGCTATACACCGTGACATAATGTGGCGATTTGATTTTCGCCATTTTGGTGCCGACAGCAGAAGTGGACGTCCAAGGAACTAATAATAGAGATAAGACAGTGTGAAAAAATATATCGATAAAAATTCTATACCCAGGCCTACCCGTAACGTCCATTCTATTTTGTATTATATTAATATAATGCTGTACAATAAATAAATTTATCAATTAACACCTAGACCTTAGACGCAAGCTTTATACCGTATATAAAACCAAGATCGACGCTGTGTTGATCTATCTACGTTTTTATTCGTAACTACAGAACGGATTTTATTCCGGGTTTCAAATGAGAAAATGCCTACCATACCTGCATTGCGGGGGTAAGAACGGATTATGTCGGACTTGCACCTACTAAAACCCCATGATGTTCCACCTTCACCACACATTGACAGGGCCACGGAAACGCTTTCAAGCATATCTGCGGCCCCACCAGCAAGGACCCCTCCTTAGTTGAGAAATTCTCTTCCCAACTTCCCGAGCCCGATGTGTGGAGGCCATGGAGCCAAGAAAAAACGAGCACTCAGAAGCACCAAATGGTCACGCCAAAGTCGCGGAAGATAGTCGAGTGGCGCATTACCACACCTACAATCCTCTTACATTGCGACTCCACCTCGGCTGCAGCGATATAAAGGGAGGACTCTCCTTTAGCCGCAGCTCACTAACACACATTCGAAACAATAATCTAATACTTTTATACTTACTGGTACTGGTACTGGTACTACCAGAAAATATTGTGGGTATATTGCACTTTTTCAAAGTGGTGCGTTTCTCATGTCCAATAAAATAGTCGCCTGTGAATTGCTTAGTACAAAGATAATAATTTTGTTTCGGAAGCCAATTCACATTTTTTGTGCTTTTTAGCCATAATTTTAGTCTAGGTTCAGTTGGAAACATGTTAATTAATAAACATTTGATAATTATCTGTTGTCGGCGACTTTGGTTGTGAACAGATATGGGTAGAAAAAAACATCGATAAGTATTATAGATAAGGAACTCGACAACCCTATTGAATTTTATTGTTTATCAAAACTCAGTAATATAAAGACAAACATGTTGGTAATTACGATATTAAGATTAGTAACAAATTTTTAAGTACCTATATTATCAAATAGTTTTAATTTGCTTAATATTAGCTGCAAATTCACTTACTTGTGGAATGTTATCCCACTTTCCTTCGAGTTTTACATAATTATTACGCACACTCTCATTATTACTAAAAATAATTCTTATTATGTAACTAAAATCAAACATAATAAAACCACATAAAATACTTTCATTTTTTAGTTTAATAATTTAAAATATAGAGATCATTGAGTTATATGTACTACGTACTAGAGAAGCCATTCCAAACAAAAATTGTGTCCTACTCTATGTCTACGCGCATGCGCGGGAGTAGTAGTCGCGCATGCTCGACGACTTTAATAATAAGATATTAATATAAAATAAATATAAGAAGTTAATATAAAATATCTTAATTTAATCTAAACAAACATATTTCTAAATAAAATGTAATAATAATTATTTTATGGAATTCACAAATCTTCAATTTACGCAATATTTAGTTTGTATGGATTGCACTACAGTTCAGTTGAACATAGTCAATGTTCGGAATGGCTTCTCTAGTACGTAGTACATATAACTCAATGATAGAGATATGATTTAAATAATACAACAGACTTTGGCATATTATGTCAAGTTTAGTTCCCGGTACGGGCAATAAGGGCGCTTTAAATCGGCATAAGCATTTTGTATGGCATAGCCAGTCCAGCGTACTTGTATATATAGAGGTCAGTGATCAATACAAATCGACCAGTTATGACTTACGCGGGCCCCATATTTGCCCACGCTAATCCCAAAATCATTAACGAATTCGAAATAGTTCAAAACAACTTCTGTCGTGTGGCTACGAACGCACCCTGGCACTTCCGTAACGCTGACCTCCATCTAGATTTAGAGCTCCCCACAGTTCAGCAATTTCTGAAAACACTCTCTGAGAACTTCTTCAAAGCCTCAGTCTTATCCTAATCATTTCATTCGTGAGGCAGCTCCCTATGCAGCCCCACTCCCCTCTCGTTATCGAGTCCGAAGACCGAGAAACTCTCTCACGGACCTCCCAAACAAGCTTTCGACCGACCTAAACCGCCTCCTGGCGGCTCAGGCCTAATCTCCCCCCGCCCTTAATTTGCCTTAATTAGGCTCCCCCTCAGCGGCTCCTCGCCGCCTGCGCCCCTTTTTCCCTAAAGAGGGTCGCTTCCGATTCGGCAGAAAGGCTACAAAAGTCAATGCCATTCTCACAGGTGGTGTTTAGTGGGTAGGCACTTAGGTTAGGTTCGCTTTCCGGAGGGTAGCCCTTTCCATTGCATCTGGGCGCAAAAATAAAAAGTGCTTATGCTTGTCTCTGTCATATTTTATTTATTTGTCCTTATTTATGGATGCCGTGTAATAACGGCGTAAGATAATCCATCTCTCTTTTTCGTCTCTTAGAAGCTTATAAATTAATAAATATCATAAAACATAAAAGAAAGATAAACCATATAATAATATATATTTTATTAAACTAGGTAAGATGTTTAATAAGTACCTACTTACATTTCTTTCCTTCTTTTTTAAATTTGCGATAAGAACTCTCGAATAGCACGAATAATTTATCGTGAGTTAAGTGCGCTAACCTCGCCTTGGCCGAAATTGCCCAAGTCAGCCATTAAATCAGTTTATTGACCACAAATTTTTAATGCAAATTGAGATAAAGCTCGGCCAGTGTGTATAAAATACTTTATAGTGCTTACATTTACACAGTACAGTTTATTGAACGAACTAATAATAGGTATATGTTTTTTTCTGATGGTAAAAAGTGGACTACAGACAACCGTAACCAACTTCTTTAAGCAGTTTTCTGTAGCCTGTGGCCTTGTATAGAACGGAAGGACGCTTCTCTGTCACTGTCATCACTTTTAATACGTGATAGAGCCACGCTGCAGTTGTATGTAGTTTCAGTGGAAATGGGTCGGCTCGTTCGAGGAAGGGCCAGGCTCTCGCAAATCATCGGTTGCGAAATAGCAGAATGTTGTTGTTCGTATAATAAGTGACAGGAAACGGAGTCCCTTTTTACTAGTAACGAGACACTCCATTTTAGTCCTCTGCGATGACAACGCATCTGCATTTTGATTCTTTATGGAGGACAGATGTAGGTGTCTATGGTCCACAGGATTCACTTACCATCTGATGGACTGGAGATGGTGAATTATATTGAGTTCAGAGCCGATATCCTTGCATTAAAAATGGTGTTCTCCATGTTAACGTTTTGTTGTTTTTGGGTGGATTTTCCTCCATCTATCAGATGTAGTCTTGTTCGTTTATCAGGAGGATGCTTCACGTTCTAGCTAGGCTGATATTTAGACATCTATTATTTAATAAAAATCATTGTGGCTCGCTATAAATTTTACAGTACGCGATCAGTTACTTTGTACCTCAGTGCCGTGTAGTGGCGGTGTAAGAATGTCCACTACCCCATATCTGCCGTAGGTGTTGTATGAGGCGACAGTTGGAAATAAATCAGGAGATACGCAGCAGCGCCTTCCTAATAACGACTAAAAATTAAAATAAATTTGCGGTTGCTACCTGCTTCCTTGGCGTGGCAACTATAGCAAATATTCCCCATATGAGGGGCGTATGTTCGGCAGTGGACTTAAATAGGTTGTTACGGTAATGCATCAGTGACAAGGAGCACACGGTCCACTAGACATTTATCCTAGATTATCCTTTCTGTGATACGGTTGAAAATCTTAGTGTGGGTGTAAAGATTTTTTTAAACAAAAATAAAAACTGTTATCATATCTGTAAAAAATGTTTATTCAAATTATTTACAATAGAAATCCTTATAAAAAAGGAATATAAAAATTAACTAATTAAGTACGTTGCCTAATTTCGTTGCTCGGAGTACATTATGTTTTTACATTTATATATTTACAAGATATTTACAATTTCTGATTAATACATGCCGGGTAAACTCTTTGGCATACCATTGGTATAACAGATTATAGATACAAATATCAGAACGTAAACATTGTCTGGTAATAAAAATATTATACAATATTTTATTTTATTCAGAAATATTGAGTAGATTTTTTTAAATATTAATAAGTGTAAACGACAATTATTGAAAACACTCTTACCCTTGAGGTATAAGGTCTTAAGACAAAATCTAAAAGAGATTTTGGATGAAACTTGCCTTTATTTATCACTAGCTTTTATCGGCGTCTTTCTCCGAAGAGAACATGAACAAAAAACCCTTGCAGATCAGATAAAGATTTACTTGAATAATAGTCTTTGATCAAGTAGTTCATAAAATCTCTTTAAACCCACTCACACTCTCTCAATTATAACCTCGAAAGATATGAGACATGGGAAAATATCTCTATAAATAAAAATCAATTGCA